TCTATCCAGGTCTCGTGGAAAGCGGGCACGGATTCCATGAGAAGCCCCATCATTTGATACGCGAGGTAAACAAAGCTTAGCATATGCTCCAAAGAATACGGGAGACGGTGTCGGAGCAGCTCGAGGAAAGAATAGATCCCATGTCTCCACATGCGGGCCGGCATTGCATACTTTGCGGGTAGGCGCCGCAACGCCGGTGATGCTGTCGGGTGTTGGGATGCCAGGAAAAAATCATGGTGCTTATGGAGGAGGGTGCGATGTAAGGCGATCAATGCCTGCCACTGCTCGTTGGAGAGTTTGGTGGTGGTTTGAGCTTGTTGCGCGCATATCTCGACGCACTTCTTCTCGACCATGACGAGGCTAGCGTATTTCGACTTGACTTCGTTAACGAGCTGTTTTCGGGAGATGGGCCGGGTTTCAGGCTGGAGTAAGGGTTTGATGTCTGCCTGGGCCGAGGCCGCGGGGTGTTCACTCGGTCTTGTAGTATTTGTAGGTTGGAGAGGTCTGAGGGAGGATATAAGGCTCAACTCGTTCATGGGATCTCTAGGCTCCTGTTTGATTGGCGGAGTGGAATCATCTCGCTGATAGCTGCTGGTATTATACCGAGACATTTTAAGTAAAAGTGGCCGAAAAGAGAGAGAGTGTGTGTGTGGTACCTTGATAGAGAATAGGGCACGTTATTGATAATGACGTTGTCGGTCCTTCTGACTCGGGTCCCTCGACGTTGTTTCATGAAGATCCCGCGAGCACCAAAAGAGTTCTGTTGGGGGGATTTTGTCGGCGATACAGTAAGGACTCTCGGCCTCGTGTGGGTGGTGTGGTCTGGACAATTCTTCGCATTCACCCCGGAGTGTAGTAATCGAGGGCGGGCCTGCGCTCTAAGCTGCAGAGAGAGGAGGCTCGCCATAAATATACTGGCTACGTAGGTCGCGACTCACGAATGCCTCGCAGCTAGAAAAGGCAGCCACGTTCCCTGATCCGGCTCACCCAGCCCCTTTCCGATCCTACTTACCTTATCTTCGATGTCATCTTGCTCTTGATCTCGGGAAAGGTACATCTACTACAGGTGCAATGAGAGGCACAGTAAAGTGTGGCTGTCGCACGCTGATTGCCGGAAGTCCGGCATTGGAACTAAAAAGGGGGCCCACGATAGGCAGCCTTGAATCTGAGTGGCTAGCACCATCCAGGACTACTTTTCTTTCGTCCCAATCGCCGCCTTGTTCTGCCAAGTGGACAATGGTTGCCCTCTTTCGACACCTTCTGTTTGTTTTACGCTTTAACCCACATCCCGAACTCATGAAACACTGCCAAGACGCCCGGCTATATGAAACAAATGCCAGGTACCTCATGATTTTATGGCACGGACTCTGAGCCAGCATCCCAATATGATCTATACATGGGCTCAGGATGCTCTATGAGAGTCATCAAATTGAAACATTCCGCCACATACCAAAATTACCAATCACCACTTCCTCAAGGTGGTGAATGCTTCTCACAACAATCTCCACGCTGGTGAACAACAACTTGCACATTATCGCCACACGCTTCGAATGGGCCTTCTTGACCCTCAAAATGATTCATAAACATGCAAGTCACATAAGGCTAGCTTCGAACCAATTATCTGAAGGTTCGTGTCGACATGCAGGGTTATGCAGGTCGCTGCAAGGTACATTGGGTGATCATCCATACGGCCGCAATACTAGTGCATCATCCCTGTTACCCGTAATGCTTAGTTTCGTCGTCACCAATCGTGGACCCTGAGGGAAGCCCGTGGACGCAGGACTTGGCGCAGGGGGGCTGTAACACCACGCTGGCCTCGATTCATCCTGCGGGCCCCATGAACGGTGCAGTCCCCGATGGCGATCACGAAGCGAAATTTGCCGAAACACGATGCTCCAAAACGCAAGACCTATAGCGACCTGTCTGAGCGCAGCAGGCTACTCACCTTTTCTAGTTCCCTCAATGGTGATTATCGTGAACAGGTCGAGAACTTGTATCATGGCGGTGCTAACACCGTAGGCAAGCAGCACTTCATCCTACTTTACAGCCGGGCACGCGACGAAGCCTTCACACCTCGAAACATCATGTCCGCTTGGTGCAAGGCGGGCCTCCACCCGTTTAATCCGGCCCGGGGGCCCAATGACATCCAGCCACCACTCACCGAGGCAACTGATCCTCGGACGCAGACCGTGAATGTAGCACCTCCATCGCCGAATGACATGCTGACTACCCCTACCACTTCTGAGGGTATCACATTGCTGAGCAAGAAACTGGAACAGGATATCGGTGATCTTGACAGCCCTGTCAAACGACGATTCGCCAAGTTCCACAATGCAGTTCAAAAGTCGCGTGCTGACTGTGCGCTCCTCCGAGCGGAGAACAAGAAGCTGTTCGAGCAAAACAATGAAAAAAAGACGCGAGTATCGACCAGGTCCACAGTGGTCGGAAGTGCCAAAAATCATGACTTATGATGACATTTTGGCAGCCCGAAACAAGCGCGCAGCAGATGAATCTGGCATTGCCGGTCGAGCCAGAAAACCCGGCAAACGTCAAAAACTAGGTCCCAAGCTTCCGAAGCCTCTTGATCGCTTTTCAGATGCTGCCACACAAGCCAAGGAATTCGGAACAGGCGTGGGCGAGACTGATTCCACGAGACTGGAAAGTTATTGTTCCATTTTGCGATTCTGATTGTCCATTCAGCCCTCATTGTCCGATTTGCGCCGAGTGTCGCGTAGCATTTCTCAACTACAAACAAAGACGTGTCCGCCCTGTTTCGTGAACGGATTCGGAGGATTTGTTTAGAGGGAAGGTGAATCGTCTTTGGTGATCGATCTTTCACTGTTGCTAACAGTCAGTGCGCAGAACCTAGAACCAAAGTTTGCACACAAGAGGTTAGAATCTCTCTAGCTGAGCTTAGTTAAGGGGCCCCCCACAAGCTCACGGCGGCATCAAGGTACTGGCTCGAATACGTTGCCTTTCATTGCTCACGGGTCGAATGCTCGTTACAGTTGTGGCGGAGATGGCATGAGACCGCTTGTGCTCCTAGTGTGGTTATCCTCGCAACATTTAGTTTGTTGATCAGTTATAGGGAGGAAAAGGTTAGGAGAAAGGCTGTCTTTCGATAGGCGTTGCTGCACTCTATATTGGAGTGCGACGGGGATGTCTTCAATGGATTCAAGGAGTGAGCTCAAAATAGAGTCATGTGATCTGATTGCAGAGTTCTTGGCAATGCTGATGCATGCCAAGGAGGCTGTGCTACAGGCATCTACCCAAGGAGGCTGTGCTACAGGCATCTACCCAAGGAGGCTGTGCTACAGGCATCTACCCAAGGAGGCT